GCACCAAAATGCATATACTAGAGCAAAATCATATTCTATTACAAAGACTAAGGTTAACACAACCATCCACTCAAGGTTTGTTCCAATTTAAATGTAAAATGGAGTACATTGATCTAATAGAAAGCAAGTGTGTAAGGGGGTGATGAAGCTATCATTTCAACCAAATCATCACACCACAATCAGTTCCTAAATGTAAAAAAATAAAAACCATTAAAGAGATATTCAATTAACTCCAAACCGTAGCATGCTCTATGTTGAAATCATTTATAAGGATCATAACATCAGGTCCAGAAAATACAATGAACACAGACAAATAAACAAATCGATGTTGTAATCTGGACTTTACTAGAGCACTTAACTAAAACCACTACAACAGTTAATTGTCAAATATATTTCACAACTTTGATTCAAATCGATCTGAATTCGATAGAAAGAGACTTACTGAAAGAGCGAGGAAGAAAACGAGCTTGAAGGAGAACTTGCGGAGTTCTTTAAAACACACGTAGCAAAGCACTATGAATCCGGAACCTAATAGTGATAGAGTAGAGGCTCCAGAGTTCACCGCAGTCAGAACATGACGTTCTCCCGCCGTCAAATTACCTAAAACCGCCTGAACTGTCGCCATTTTCAACCACGGCTTCTGATTTCGTGTAATGTATGATTTCAGTTGATACTCCAGAAGAATTTCATTATCAAAATTCTGAAATTAACAACTTCTTCGGGTAGAAGAAACAATACGATCTCAAATCTTGCTTTTTCTAGTGGGGTTTTTATTTTGTAATCTAGAATAATTAAAATAATAAGAAATACACCCACAAGATTCCATCATAAAAGTCGCTTTGGCCGAGTGGTTAAGGCGTGTGCCTGCTAAGTACATGGGGTTTCCCCGCGAGAGTTCGAATCTCTCAGGCGACGTTCTATTTTTTTCTTATGACTATTTTTTTTGTTTTTTTTCTTCCATTATGATTTTTTTAAATGCGACTGTTTTTTATTCTTCGATTATGACCTTTTTTTTTTAATGTCACTGTTTTTTTTCCTTAATTATGACTTTTTTTTCTTTTTCTTACTGTGATTGTGACTGTTATTTTTCTTCAATTATGACTTTTTTTTTTAAATGTGACTGTTTTAATTAAGGGTTTAAATGATTTTTTATCATTTAACATTTAAGTTTTGTTTTGTATTCATTTGTTTATTTAACTATTTTTAAGTTTTAAAAGGTTATCAAACTTTTGGTTTTATGCTCATTTAATCACTTAACTTTTGGTTTGATCACATTTAGTCACCTAACTTTTAAAATTGTACTCATTTAGTCACTAAACTTTTAAATTTTTTCAAAAGTTTAATGATTAAATGAACACAATTTTAAAAGTTAGGTGATTAAATGAGTACAAATCTAAAAAGTAAGTGACAAAAAAAAAGTAAAGTGACTAAATAAGTACAAAGTCAAAAATTTGATGACCTTTTAAAAAAATAATAATAATAAAAGACAAAATGACTATAAAACCAAAAGTTAAATGACCAAAAATGACTTAAACTCTCCAATAAATGGTTCTTTAGTTATCATCTAACTAGACGAATTTCCTGCACATTGTGCAAAGTATAATTACATTGTTTAAAACCTTGATTTTTTAATGGTGGCAGTTGCGGAGCTACATGGGGCGTTGGGGGTACTACAACATATCAAAAAACTTGTTTTATGTATATATAAAAAAAAATATTTGTAAACAAGTTCTATGTTATAGTACCCCCACTTAAAGAGAATTTATCATGTTTGTTAATGCCCCGAATATGATAACTACATAGAATATTTATTGATAATGTTTGTACCATCATATAAAAATTTCTAGATCCGCCATTAACGAGTGGTTAATGGGTGGAAGTTAGTATCACCGACCACCATCTAGATTACAACCTAAAACCTCCAATAAAAATGAAAACTTCTACTAAGTAGGCTACTCCTACATTGACGTTTAATTAAGTATATATTTAAGTTTAGGTTTTATATTAAAGAATATAAACATTTTTTTGACAATTGAAAAAATAGTCTTATGATATTTTAATTATGATTGTCATTTAAAACCATATTTATTTCAAAGTTAAGTATATATTAGGTTGAAAATAAAGAATTAATTTTAATTTGGACTGATAAACAATTTTAATGTAATAAAAAGGTTATAGATTAGGTTGAAAAGTGAAGATTTAATTTTAATTTAGACTAATAAATGATTTTAATATATTAAAAAATCAAAAGGTTAAAGTGAATAATTTAATTAAATTAAAAAAATATGTATGGTTAAATTAGTTGTATGTTCAAGAGTTTGTGTAAATATTATGAATAAAATAAAAAACTATATGTATTGTTAAATTAGTCATATGTTAATTTTAACTAGAAAGGTTACCTCCACTACGCGGAGACCATAAGCTTTCAATGTTGTTTTTAAATCGATAAATATGACAGACATAGAAAGTGCAAGGATGAAAAGCCTGGACTTTGCCACAGATCGCTTTTTTCATGTTTTTATGAAAAAAATGTAAAAGTCTCATGCAAGGACCAGAAGTGTCAAAATGGCTAAAGAATTAAAGGGGTAGGAATTAGCAACTTTTTTCGAAAAGGGATCAAAGTTGTCAAATCATTAAAGTTTTTTGACCAAACTTTAAATATTAAAATGTTCCTAAAAAAGTGTAAAATTATTGATTACAATGACTAAAAGTGTCAAAATGGTCAAAGAATGAAGAGCAAAGTTGCCAAAAAATGGCAAGTTTACTATTCCTAAGATTCATTTCTTATATATATATATATATATATATATATATATATATATATATATATATATATATATATATATATATATATATATATATATATATATATATATATATATATAGAGAGAGAGAGAGAGAGAGAGAGAGAGAGAGAGAGAGAGAGAAAAAAGAGTTAGGATCATATATAACCATTAGTTATTGTGTGAATGTATGACCAATTATGGTGCAATCACCGTCTAAGGGTAAAATAGGAACATTGTATAATTTTAATTTAATAACCTAAATTGAATTCCTATATTTCTGGTAACTGAATTTTTGATTTAAACTAATAATTATCATATCTAATCAAACACCAAATGAACCCTACATTATCGAAGAATTCCCCTAAAGGATTGATGCTATATCTTTCTCACTATCTTCTGAATTTTTCGAGAAATCAATTGGAGTGGATGTGATAATTATTAGTTTATACCAAATCTCACAGATCTCGTCTTATTTTATTCAGCAGCGCTACCGCAATTAAAGGATTCACCTCCTCTGGCACTAGTAATCATCATTCCTTTTATCAATTTATTTTTTAGTGTATAAGTTTTTGTAATATATGCAAAATGATAACTTCTCATTCAATTATTAACTTCTGAATTAGCCAGGGTGAAAATTTGTTTTCATTCGTATGATATTCTCATTTAAATTGGACAATCTTACTTCAATTATATACTATTCTTGCATTTAAAATTAGAATTAAATGTTAATTTGGAAAAACTTTTTCAGAATGCGACCAGTTAGGGTAGCCCCTTTACCCAATGATGCTCATGTAGTTGGTACTGTTGGAACCATGGTTGTATTCAGGTGATTAATAGGACATTTACTAACCCAAACAAGTATGAGAATGAATGGTTGTAATACATGAAATGTATCCATCAACAACTTTATTTTGAAGTTGTGGTTCTAATTTATGAAAAAGTTGATGTTGCATTAATAGAGGGCATAGGTATTTCTAAGCATTCAACTGATGATCTTTATGTACTCCACTTAACCAATGATAAATATAAATAGCACATGCAAGCTTCTTTTATACAGTTTTGGACTTATAATCTTCTCTTCTAATTTATTATTTACCTTAGATTTTGATTTGGTTTCTTGCTTTTAAGTAGATAGTTGTTGTTCAAGTTCAAGGTGTAAGTCCATGTTATGGACCTGGTTACCCAAGCATACCTTCTTACTGTTAGTAGAAAGTTGGAAATGATGGTAAGCAAAACAATCAATTCACATTTGTAGCAAGTAATAAAAATACCATGTCTTTTTTATTGTTCATAAACACATAATATCATATGTTATTCTGTTTTACCGAGGAAAGAAAGTACTTTCATAAATATAATATCATACGATGGGGTTATGGGTTGCTTTTTTTTAATTTGCAAGTGAAGAAGAAGAAGAATAAGGAGGGAGGGAGAGAGAGAGAGAGAGAGAAAGAGAGAGAGAGAGAGAGAGAGAGAGAGAAAGAGAGAGAGAGAGAGAGAGAGAGAGAGAGAGAGGAGAAGAGGCTACGGTGGGTGGAGTCGTGGAGAGGGGTAATATGATATTTTTTATTTTTAATTTTTTTATAAATTTTTAAATACTAAACTCAATAAAAAATGGAAAAAAGAAATAATTTGGTAAAATGGACATTTCAATATTTTCAGGATCAAAACAAAACAAAAATTTTGATTTTGGACCATCAATGCAAATTAGAAACTTTTTGGATCCTATCCAAAGTTTTTTTGATACCATAGGGACTAATTTTACAGTTTTATCTTTACAATCCAAATTAATTTTGAAAATAGAGACTCAACATGGTCCCTGTGGTATGCATTTTTTTGGGGTTTTAGTCCAAACCATGACTTTTTTGGTTTCGTGGTCCTTTTAGGCTACTTTAATTGCAGAATCGGTCCCCGATAAAGTTGAAAAGACTACTTTGCCCTTATAATTTGTTTTTTCTATTTATTTAAATATTCTTTTTCTTTTATTTAATTATAAATGTTAAACAAATCAAGAATGAGACTTACACCCTACCCTCTCTCTCTCTCTCTCTCTCTCTCTCTCTCTCTCTCGCTCGCTCGCTCGCTCTCTCTCCGTTTCGCTGCCAAGAAACTCCACCGGAGGTGATGCATTTTCCGGCCACCACCATGGGCAACAGACCCTTCCTTTCTCCTTCTTCAATCCCAGCTGCCAAACACCTCTGCAATTTTCGAAAAGCATCACCCAAACACCCCTGCCCCTTCATGTTTAACTGTCAGTGACAGGAGGAAAGAAGCCAAGGGAGGCCGCCAAAGCAGCCTCTGTTTCCTTCGTGATTCACCACCGGAAAATTGACTCTCATCCTCCCTCATTCTTTCCTGTCGAACAACAACATTCAAACACCCCCAATTCGGCACTGCTATCGCTGCTTTGTTCCTTCGTTTTCCTTACTGTTGACGACAAGAAAGGAACCCACGAGGGCATGCCGAAGAGCAGTTATCCCCTCCACCATTTTTTCATCAACTCCACAACGAAACACCCCTGAAGATCCTTGGTCCCTTTGCTCGTCGGAGATGCAGACTACTGCCCCTCGTCGACATACACAACCCCATCTGCCATTTTTCGGTGCTACTTTGTGCTGCTTACCTTCACCTCGATCTGTGGCTGTCGGCGATGAAGTCAAGCCAATAGGACCGTCGTAAAAACGGGTTCCTTTCCCCCTTAACATATCTACCATCGCAGGTGGTTGAAACGGAGGCAATAGCCTCCTTCTTTTGTTTTATTTTTCTGGTGAGTCGAAGAAAAAAAAAAGGGAGAGGGGAATCAAGAATTGGCAACAGAAGATGAGGGTGTTTGGGTGGTGATTGTCGATAGAAAAAGGGAAGAGGATAATGGGAGCTGTTTGTCTTCCTTGGTGGCCGGTAAACACCGTTTCCGATGGGTGGTCTTGCCGGAAATCAAGAAGAAAGAAATAAAGAACCGTAAGAAATGAGAGAGAGAGAGAGGGCAGGTGGGTCCCATTCTTGATTTGTTTAACATTTATAATTAAATAAAAGAAAAAGAATATTTAAGTAAATAGAAAAAACAAATTAAAAGGGCAAAGTAGTCTTTTCAATTTTATTGGGGACTAATTCTGCAATGAAAGTAGCCCAAAATGACCACGAAACAAAAAAAAAGTCATGGTTTGGACTAAAACCCCAAAAAAATACATACCACAAGGATGTTTTTGCAATTTTGTCTAATTTCGTATAGCAACCTATGAAACCAAATTGGTGATCGTTAATAAAAACTGCCTAAAATATTGGATAAAAACAATAATATCATTGATAAGTTTTGTCATTCTCTCAAAAATTGACATGAGGGGAATCAAAATCATTTTAAGGACAGATAGTGATAGTGAAGAACAGGTATCTGGTTGAACACCAAAAATAAATTTAGCATCGATTTTGGCGATCAAAAATTAATCATGTAGCAGATTGTTGATTCAGTCCAGCGGCATTGAAGAATGAAGCCTTATCTTGTTTGCGTATTTGTTGGAATATAGTTACAATTTTGGGTATTGAAGCCATCGATAAACAGAAGATGAAACCGATGTTACAAATGCCACCGGTAATCTCAACTTGTATCGATTGAAATAGACACAGAGAGATTTGTGCACTGAAGAATCAAATCCATCTTTCTTTCTTGTATTCATCAATCAGACACTTGAAAGCAAGAAGATGAGGATTGAGGAGGGCTTCTGATTGCAACTCTGTTCTCCACAGTCGGAGCATATGACATTCATCAGCCTTGCTTTGAGGCAGTACCAGTATGCAGGGAGATCCACCCCAATTTCGCTTCTTAGTCCTAAATTCTTAGAGTACCTGATCATGATTACTTTCATTATTTTAATAAACACCCCCAAAATTGAATCACCAAAGTCGCTTTGGCTGAGTGGTTAAGGCGTGTGCCTGCTAAGTAAATGGGTTTCCCCGCGAGAGTTCGAATCTCTCAGGTGATGATTAATTTTTTACCATCTTTCTTCTTCTATATATACTTATTTTTGCCATATAAATGAGTAAATTTCCTTAAAATATCACATCCTAATAGCTTAACAACTTAGGAGAGTAATAGCATTTTAATTTTGTTTTTATTTATTTATTTATTTTATATTACACCAATATAATTGTATATAACCGCTTAAAAAAGATAATATCTTAATTTTATCCACATTGGGTCCCTATTTTTTTTTTATATATTACATCAACATGGTTGTTACAATCGTTTAAAATGGGGTAATAAAGTTTTTAACTTTGTCCATATGAGATCCCAATTTTTAATATTTTTATCATTTCATCTAACTTTTTCATAATTTATATTAGTATCTACTTAAATGAATTCATTATTTCATTTTCTCATTTTAGTCGCTCATTTACCACAACCATAGTTTTAATTGAATGGTTACATAACAATTTTTTGTCATTTTTGCTAAAAAATTAATAATAATCAAAGTCTTAATGATTAAGGCTAGTGTTTTAAAAAGCTACTTAGATTAGTTTTTTAAAAGTTTTTTTTTTTATTTCCAAATATATCCCTTAATTAATTAATAAAACATATTTTTAAATGTTCTTTTATGTCATTATATAAATTATAGATATCTTATAAGTTAGTGGTGAAGCCAGAGTCAAAATAAAAGGGTATTCCCGAAAAGTAATGGCTCTCTCAATGGGGTATCCTTGATACGCCATTACTTATGAGGGATACCTCTTTACTTTTAGGGGATAATTTTTTACTTTAACCATGACTTTGTCAGTGGCTTATAAGCTATCTGAAATTTATATAATGACATAAAAGGACATTTAAAAAATATTTTTTCTTAGTTAATTAACGGGTATATTCGGAAATTAAAAAAAAAAAAAAACTTTTAAAAAACTAGTCTAAGTAGTTTTTTAAAACGTTATCTTATAAGTTATTTTTTGATTTGTCAAACATGACAACTTAAAAAAGATCGAAAAATAAAATAGTTTATCAGCTAGTTGTGGTGCGCCAAACATAACCTTAATCATTAAAACTTTGATTATTATTAGATTTTTTTTTGTAAAAACAACAAAAATTTGTTATGTAACATTTCAATTGAAACCGTGGTTGTGGTGAATGGATGACTAAAATAAAAATATGAAATGATTAAGTCATCTAACTAGATACAAATATAAATTGTAAAAAAGTTAGATGAATTGATAAAAATATTTAAAATAATAACCTAATATGAACAAAGTTAAAACCTTAGTATCTCTCTTTAAACGGTTATAAAAATCATATTGATTAATATGTACAAAAAAAGACTTTGGGGATCTAATGTGGACAAAATAAAAACTTATTATATTTTTTAAACGGTTACATACAACTATATTAATGTAATATGTAAAATAATAATAATAATAATAATAAAACCTTAAAGCTTAATGTGAATAAAATTAAACTCATTAACCCTAGCCTAATATCAAAAAATCAAAAGTACAATGGGAAAGATTTTTATAGTTACAATGCTTTCATAAAAGAAAAATAACAATCAAAAGCATAGTCTTTTAGAAGTACAAAAAAAAAGTTAAATAGAAATAAGATGCTATATATACAAATAAATTGTTATTTTTTATGTGTCTTTTAAGAATATAGGTTTCATGCCGTCGCGTGTATTTTTGTTTGATTTAATATGTTTTTACTTCTAAAATATTAATAGAAACCAAACTAGAATTGATTTTGTTTGATCTGTTTTCGATTTAAAAAGTTTGATTTACAATTATATTCAATTTAAAAAGTTTGATTTACAATTAAATTCGATAACATATGTTAAACTTTTTTGTATGACAAAACAATAACATCACAAAAACGGGTGTGTGTTTTAAGAATATATGTGTCATTCGATCGCCAATATTTTTGGTTTGATTTAATAGGTTTTCACTTCTAAAATATTAATCAAAACCAAACGAGAAATAATTTTGTTTGATTGGTTTACAATTTAAGAAGTTTGATTTACAATTAAATTCAAATAATATATGTTAAACTTTCTTGTTTGATAAAACAATAACATCAAGGGGTGTGTCTTTCACTACATAAAATCTTATAATATGTGCAGGGTCGGCCCTGAAGATGTACAAGATGGCAACCGCACATGGTCCAGAGAAAAAAAGGATCTGATTTTGGCCAAATTATATAGTAAATATGTCAATATATATTTGTTTACGAAATTATTTCTAAAAAAACATTTGGTTCAACCGGGCAGGAGCGCCGCATATAATTATTTCTTTCGAATGAGCTAGGGTCGATTCTTGCTTTTTCTGCTTTGCACACTTTTCTTCTTTATATTAATTCATGTTACGTAACAAATAAATTTTACCCCTTTAACAAGTTTTAATTCTTGTTTCCCAACTTTAAACGTGTTTTTATTGATCAGTTCTTTTTTTCTTTTACCACGTCTTCAAAGTGTTTCTATTAATCGGCATTTTATTCTTCATTCTCATTTTTTATTATTATTTTCTTTATTAGTGTTGTTTTATTGCTCATTTCTATATAATTTTTTTTAATTAACCAACTTTTTTTCCCTCTTTAATTTGTCCTCACCCTACTTAATTGATCATTGTATTATTTTTTTTCCTAGTTCACTCTCATCCATTTTAATTGATTAGTATTATTAAAATTTGATATTATATATATATATATATATATATTGAGGGTCCATTTTATTTTTCGCTTTTTTCTAGTTAACTCCTATCCATCTTAATCGATTAGAACACCTTAGTAGTATTAACAATGTTTTTATTGATCAATTCTTTTTTCTTTTACCCCGTCTTCAAAGCGTTTCTATTAATCGGCATTTTATTCTTCATTCTCACTTTTCTTTATTATTTTCTTTAGAAAAAACATCATAAATGGTCCCTATGGTTTTCCAAAATCTGAAGTTTAGGCCCTATGGTTTAAAAACTTCATAGATGGTCCTTGTGCTTTCAAAACTTTTAACAGGTGGTCCTTATCCCTCACACTGTTAGAACCCCACCGTTAACTCTTATTTCATTAAAATAATATAAGGGTAAATCGGTCTTTTCAGTTGTGCCATCTTTTTTATTGAGGGAAATGATTATGCCACCGTCTTCTTCACGTCAACTCCCAAGAGTACAGTGACTTCGTCTTCAACTGATCACTCTTCAACTGCATGCTTGAAGGATTTGCAATCGAGATACGGTAATATTTTTCATAAAAAAAAAAATAAGTTTTTGTTTTCCTTGAATGTATTCATGAAGATAAATCATCTTCTTTACCCTTTCTATTTTTGTGTTTGCAGAGTGATATGATAACCATTTCACGTTGAAGATACACTATAGTGGTGTCTTCACCAAGTCACCTGGAAGGAAATACGTCGATGGTATTGTATCATACGTAGATGACGTTGACATTGATTTATTTTCAGTCCATGAACTCGATGACATGGTTCAAGAATTAGGGTACAAAGGTGAACAAACTCTTTACTACCATTTCTGTATCCCTGAATTTCCCTTAGACTACGGGTTATTGCCTTTAGGTAATTACCAAGATGTTCTTAAATTGGTTTCGTATGTCCCTAAACACAGACTTGTAAAGGTCTATATTGAAATTGGCCAGACTAGGGTAGCTAGTTATTTTTAGTCTCCTTCCAACGTTGTTATTGAGGAACTAGAACCTTAGAGTGTGTCACCGAAACTTAATAGAAAAAACCTTGTAGAAGAGAAGTAGGATCGTGCAGTAAAAAGCTTGAGTTAGACCACCCTGCTAACCATGTTGTTGACACAGGTAATAGATATGGATGAAAGTCAGGATCATTCAAAGACTATTGTTCCATATGTTATGTCTCAAGTTAGCCAACGAAGTAATGTCATTGATGTGAATGAAGGATTGATCATGGGCCACATAGAAGAAGTGTGTAAAGGTAATTTAGGAAATCTTGTAGAGGAACCAATTTGTGAAGATATTGACGGACAACAAAGTGCAAGACTTGATGAATTTGAAGCATTTACAGATGATTATTCAACTTATGTTGACTTTGATGCTGAGTACAGTGTACCAAATGGTGAAGACAATCAAGTAGAAATGGAAATTCTAGAGGGCATGATAAGTGATGATAGTGGAGATGCTTTCTATAGTCAGAATGAAGATGGTTAAGATTATAGTGGAAATGATTATGATGATATTGACTACATTGTACATGAGTCTAACTTGCAATTTGATGTGGATGTAGACATGATTGAATTCCAAAGTGTCGTGGATGCAGATGAACATGGAATTTAAACAAGCAAACCGAAATTATAGGGAATGACATAGTTGATGAAGAGTTGGAAGTTATTCAAAGTGATGATTATCAGTATGCAGGATTTTATGAAGATGAAAGGACAAAAATGCTTAAGGAGTTGAGTAAGTCAACTCCATGATCACATGGGGAGATCCATTTAAAACCATATAGGGTGGGACAATGTTTCAAAACAAAGAAGGAAGTTGTGGACTACATGCATTCACATGCTATAAATACAAGGAAGTCCCTATACTTAGCAAAAAATGATAAAATTAGGATAAAGGTCAAATGTGGAGGTGTTGTGGGCCTATCTACTGAAACAATTCAATGTGGTGGGCCATCAACTAGAAGTAAGGTAAAGTGCAAGGAACAATCTATTGAAACAGTTGAATGTGGTGGGCCATCAACTATAAGTAAGGTAAAGTGCAAGGGAAAAAGTGTGATTAGTAAAAAAGGAAAATGTCCTTGGGCAGTCCAAATCTCAAGGTCAGATGAGAATAAGGATTAGTTGGTGAAAACGGTACACGATGTCCATAAATGTTTGCAGACAAGATCAGATAAAGCTTGTACTTCCAAATATTTAGCAAACTTAATTGTTCCACAAATTCAGAGTAACCTTAAAATTCCAATCAAAGCTTTACATGAGGAGTTGTGTAAGAAGCTGGAGCTTGGTATGTAAGTTCAAAAGGTTGCTAGGGCAAAGCAAATGGCTGAACGTGTGATTAGTGGGGACTACCAACTTCAATATGGGGATTATGCTTTGGAACTGCTAAACACTAATCCTGGTTCAACTGTTAGGATAGATGTGTATCCTGAACCATGCTTGTCGACTACTACAAGAACTTTTAGAAGAATATATGTATGTCTAGGTGCATTGAAGTTGGGATTCAAAGTTGGGTTAAGGGATTTCCTGGGAGTTGATGGTACATTCTTGAAAGGCCCATATCCTGGGCAGGTACTAAGTGTTGTAGGTCTAGACTCAAATAATGGAATATACAATGTAGCATATGCAATGGTAGAGGCTGAAACAACTAGTTCTTGGACCTGGTTCATGGAACTGTTAGGAGAAGACTTGGAATTGGGAGTAAATTCAAATTTTACCTTCATTTCTGATAAACAAAAGGTATGTTTTACCTAATTATTTCTCATGATAGTGTACCTTACTTTCTATTTTTATAAATGAAACCGACTATATTTGCATTTTGTTAAGGGGATAATACCAGCAGTTGCAAAGGTATTCCCCAATGCAGGACATAGGTTTTGTTTGAGGCATATTCAGGAGAATTTGAAGAAACAATGGAAAGGAAAAGAGTTGAGTGACTTGGTTTGGGAATGTGGTAGAGAAACAACATTAAATCACTTTAAATATGAAATGGATGAGTTGAAGAAAATGAATGATGAAGCTCATTCTTGGTTGTGTAAGATTCTTGCAGAGACATGGTCTAAATCTCACTTCAGTGGTATGTCATTTAGAAGCTGTTGAGTTTTATGTTCTAATATAAAATTTGTAATTTCTCTTTTTGAATATGTTTTTCACAGGTAGGGCACACACTGATTGTTTATTGAATAATCTGTGTGAGGTATTCAATGCTAAGATAGAGGGAGGTAGGGATAAACCAATCATCACCTGCTTAGAGTATATTAGAGAGTATCTCATGAAGAGATTTTATGTTGTGCAAAAGGAAATAAATAAGTGTCAAGGGGAACTAAGTACTACTGCAACTATAGTTTTAGAGGGGATTAAGACTCGAGCAACAAAGTATGTAGCTAAGTATAATGGGGCAGGAAAGTACCAAGTTGCAAGCACATGGCAGGATCAGTATGTGGTGAACCTAAATGAAAGAAGTTACACTTGTAGGTTTTGGGAGATTATAGGTTTTCCATGTAGCCATGTTGTTTCTGCTATATGGAACAAAATTGAAAATGGAGAAGATGCCCCTGATATTGAGGATTGGGTCCATCCTTGCTATAAGTTATCAACATGGAAAGCCATGTATTTGAACAAAATTGATCCAAAAATTTGGTCGTTCAATGTGGCCAAAAAGTGATTGTCCATTCACTTTAACTCCACCAAAACATCACACACAGGTTGTTATGTCAACTAGGCTAGATATGTACTTTTAATGCCAGCATGTATATTTATGGTTTAAATATAATAAATGCATATGTGTAGGTTGGGAGGCCAAAAAAGAAGAGAAAGAGAGGTGTTGATGAGCCCAACAGCCAAACAACTAAATTGAGCAAGAAATTTCTTGCACTCGCATGTTCAAAGTGTCATAACAAGGGGCACAATTCTAGAACATGTAAAGGGCAGGCAGGCATTGGTGAAGTTGGATCAAAGGGGAAGACACAGGCAAAAAGGAAGAGACAAGGAAAGGGAAATAGGGTTGGAAATTCTGTTAAGTAGTTAATTGGATGTTTGGGTAGTTAGGTCTTTTGAAACTTAAATTATGGCTTGGTTGTTTAAATTATGGTAATTAGGTCTTTTGTAATGTTTGTATGGGTTAAGACCTTCCATCACTAAGTATGTTGAAACTAAGTGTCATGTTTAAACACAGACTTGTGATGATTTTATCAAGATGAAATTATAACAATGTATCATAAAAAAATACACATCAAAACCACTGATTTGTAACAAAATACATAGACAAAACCCCCATCATTTCCATTAACTTAATGTGTTGCAATTCATGTAACAAAATGAAACCAAAAATACCCGTTCCATCACAATCCAAAACCCCCTGAACTAGTTAGATGCGTACAAAAGAAACTAAAAATCATCCATCCTATTACCATCCAGATCCTTAAACCACCTTACTGGTTAAAAAACAAAAAAAAACATACATGAACAGAATAACATCAGCTGGTAGTTCCACAATTCTGCACTTGCAATCGCAACCCTCTCTTCCAATCGATTCATTGATCTTATCAAACATGGAATCACAACCAATGCAATAGCACACATCGGAGGGTCAACCTACCTTACAAACCCACATCTTGAATAATTCAAAAATTGCCTTCCTGGGTAACGATCCGTCCATGAGTTCAACTTCGTTGTTTCCATTCCACATCTACAAATCGCCATCTTCGACACTCACAGAATTCGTTTTGCAATTGGATGCATGGTAGAGTGAGAGTAGAAGAGGGTGGGTGCGAGAAGGGTTTTCAAAATATCAGACATGCCTTTGGTTATAAAGAAGAGGGCATAACTGAAAAGACCGATTTACCCTTATATCATTTTAATGAAATAAGAGTTAACAGTGAGGTTCTAACGGTGTGAGGGATAAGGGTCATCTGTTAAAAATTTTGAAAACACGAGGACCATCTATGAGGTTTTTAAACCACAGGGCCTGAACTTCAGATTTTGGGAAACCACAGGGACCATTTATGATGTTTTTTCTTTTCTTTATTAGTGATTTTTTATTCCTCATTTCTATATAATTTTTTTAATTAATCAACTATTTTTTTCCTTTTTAATTCGTCCTCACCCTACCTAATTGATCATTTTTTGTCAATTTGTTGTATTATTTTTTTCCTAGTTCACTCTCATCCATTTTAATTGATTATTTAAATATATTTAATGAGGGTTCCTAATTGAACAGTTCTTGCTATTGATTGGACCAAAGTTTTTTGATTTTATTTATTAATTTTTTGTTTCCTTTTTAATAATTTTTTGAGACGTCCCTTTACACTTGTCTTTGGTTTAAAAATTTCTCTTTACACGTGGTGCCACCTCCCACTGCTTCCAATCAGATACGGACACCAGATATCCACTGCTTCGATTATGGTTCACTGTCTTCTCTTAATTGAATGCTTATCCCTTTCTTTTGTGTTCTTCAAGACTGTAGGATACACGTGCATTCACGTCCAAGTTTATCATCTACGCGGTGCTTTTCCGTCTGCTTATCTATTGTCGACGCAATATATGACACCGACAATTCGTGGTCGGTCGATGATACGTGTTTCCTTTTATGCTGCTCAACCTTTTCAAACGTTCCTTCTTCCATCCAACACATGCTCTGCCTTCGAAACCAGATTCCAGTACCTTCAACCGATCCCTTTTTCCTCTAAGTCCACCTATTGAACTTCCACACCTTTTTTTCTTCATTTCTATTCCACCTTTGTCTAAGTAGGGTTTGAGATGGAGCGATTATCTGTCACATTGGCGACCATTACCATCATAGACGGAGATGCTAGAGATTTTTAGTTATCCCGATCAGCTCATCGTACCCAAGAACAAGAAACACCAACGACCGGAGTTTCATCTTCGTTGTCATCTTCCCATTGACCTGCAACAATCAACAAGTTCTTCGTTCTGTTTATTTATGTGGTTCTTTTGTTCGCTCCATCTCGATCTTTCTTTCACAACTCATATGAGGGACTGAAATCGATTTGGGGTAACAGCAACCCTAATTTGGGCTCAAATTTGGTTTTCTTCATAATTAACGTTTTCCCTGTGCATGGATATAATAAGCATCAGTGTATGGATATCATAAACATCTCATTAGTCTTCTTTTGTTGAAGATTAAGTGGCACTCCAAATGTTCGCTTCACTCAAGAGCATGTTGAAGAAGACAACCTTGAGTGGTCAAAGTGTAAGGAGTAGAATATATGAAAGCGTAAGTTAATTTCTACATCAATGTGAATTTAGTTTAGGATAAATTACTGTTTGGTTATATAGGTATTGAAATTAGAGTGTTTCACTTCCAATGGTAGTCATGGATGCTAAACCAACATTTCTACCCCCTGTTCGCTAGGTTCTCTGTAATAGGTGCCGCCATTCATCTTCTCATTTGGGTTCTCTGCTTCACCAACATCTTTCTTCATCACACACTATCCCAGGGAGGCCTCATTTAAAATTTTGCATAATATTCTTGTACAGAACATCGACTTTTAATTAATTTACACTTTAACCTGTTTTAACTTTTTTATTGTACGTAAGTTGGTGTTTGACTATAATTGATTGGTTATTTTTAAACCCCTTGCCATGACATGTATAAATCCCCTAAGTAACTAACATGGTATTAATCCCCTAAGTAACTGACATGTTGCTTGATTGTGTGTTACAGGAGCAGGCATAAAATATAGTTGATGGAGCACTGCACTAAAAGATTTTACTCCATAAATAGTAATTACTTA